CCCTCCCACTCTCGTAACCGATAACGGCCGACAGCTCATCATGCAGGGATTCGAGGACTTCCTCCGAGAGCTCGGTATCAAGCATCTCCCGACCTCGGTGGAATAGCCCCAAACCAACGGCCAAGCCGAAGCAGCCAACAAAGTCATCCTCCGGGAACTCAAGAAACGGCTGGGAAACGCCAAGGGACAGTGGCCCGATGAACTTCCCAGCATCCTCTGGGCGTATAACTGCACCCCCCAATCAACCACGCAGGAAACACCCTACAGGCTAACTTACAGAGTCGACGCAATGATCCCAGTAGAAGTCGGAGAGACGTCCCACCGACGGAAGGTTTTCGATACCGAGCAGAACGCTCAAGAGTTGGCAGCCGACCTCGACTTGGTGGACGAGCTTAGAGACAAAGCTCAAATCCACGAAGAAGCATGCAAGCTCCGAGCTTCCCAAAGATACAATACCCGAGTACGACCTCGTTCTTTCCGAGCTGGTGACTTAGTGTGGCGATTGCTAGGCAAAGCCCAAAAGGACACGTCGGATGGGAAGCTTGCACCTACTTGGGGTGACCCATTCCGAGTTACAGAAGACTTGGAAAATGGAGCGTATAGGCTGGAAGAACTCAACGGGAAGCCCATATCGCGGACTTGGAATGCTATGCATCTCAAGTTCTACTTCAGCTAAATTTTGTATGAATGAGTTGTGCACTCTTTTCCCACCTCAGTCTTTTATCCCAAAAAATAGAAAAATGGGTTTTGGCTTAGAGGGTTTTTAACGAGGCACATATTTCCATCAATAAGATAACCCATTCCCTTTTATTAACACTCTTTTACCTTCACCGTTTTACTACAAAATGCCCTACGTTTAACACACTTATCCGAGGTTGAATCCAAACCTTGATAAAACACATATTACTCTAAATCCGAGGTCGAATCCGAACCTTGATAAAACACATATTACTCTAAATCCGAGGTCGAATCCGAACCTTGATAAAACACATATTACTCTAAATCCAAGGTCGAATCCGAAACTTGAAAAAACACATATTACTCTAAATCTGAGGTCGAATAGGAACCACTTGTCCGAGGTCGAATTCGAACCTTGATGAAGCACATATTACTCTAAATTTGGGGTCGAAAACGAACCTTCGATACGAACGTCCAAGGTCGAGTCCGAACCTCGGCACAATCCATTCTACGCCAACTTAGGGTCGAATACGAACCCCAACACGCTTTACACAAATTCGAGGTCGAGAATGAACCTTAGAAACGCCCGTCCGAAGTCGAGTCCGAACTTTGGCATGATTCGCCATACTCTGGTGTAGGGTCCAAAATGAACCCTAACACGCTCTACACAAATTCGAGGTCGAGTGCGAACCCTAAAACGTTAACCCGAGGTCAAGTTCAAACCTCGGTATGATTAAGGTCGAGCCCGAACCTTCACAACATATCACTCAACAAAAATACAAGGTCGAATACGAGCTTGAGATACAACTCAACTCACATTAATTCGAGGGCGAATGCGAACCTTAGGTCGGACTCGAACCCCCCGAAAAGATTCATTTATGAAAAATCGAGGTCGAGGCCTAACCCCGGCATGACCACCTCGGACCCATAAAAATACACAACAGACACCAAGCGTGTCTCAAAACGCGCAAAACAGTAAAAATCAAGCGTAAATAAACAAAGCAAAATACGTATATACAGAGCTATTCTTACCAAGTTCAATACATGAATTCAAAGGGAAGTAAAAAGAAAACAGGAAAACTAAACTATTACAAAAATGGCCTACATGGAGGCATTCTCGCTGGAGTTGTCCTCGACATCATCCTCCTTGACCAGCTTCCCAAAACGAACGACCTTCTCCACGTGCATGCCAGAGAAATCAAACCCGGGCGCAAGGAGCCTAGCCTGGCGAGCAGCCTTAAGGAAGCCCCTCTTATGCTCCACCACGATGGAGCGCTCTACCTCCTCAAGTCTCCTCTCCAGCGCCGCCTTCTCGGCCTCCAGCGGCGAAAGGCCTACTCTCTAGGCAGCAATCTCCTCCTCTTTGCTACCAATGATGACCTCATCGCGAAGACGCTCCTCGGTTACCGACACTAGTTCGCCCGTCAAAAATGCAACCTCATCTTCCAAAGAGCGAACCTGCTCCCAAGAAGACATCACCTCGCCTCGGGACGAGGTAACGAGCCCCCGCAACTCACCCACTCGGGAGGCATAGTTTTCATTGGAGCGCAAGGCGATCTCCAATGACTTCTGGGCCCTGGCGAGACCCCCCTTCGCCGCCTGGAGCTCGGCTCCCTGCATCTTCGCTTCGCCAAGGGCAGTAGTCAAAACCCCGTTCTCCTCCCTCAGGACGCTATTCTCATCCTTCAGAGGCTGAACAAGGCTCCTCAGCTTCGCCATGTTCTCCTGCTGCCTCGACCACTTGTGTTTCCAGTAATCCACAATGGACGCGCCTCTCTGCAGGAAGATCTGGGCGGCCTCGAAACTCCCCAACGGCCTGGCCGACTTGATCATCGCCTGATCAGTCGTGCTCAGCGACCCCTTTGGGAAAAACTTCTCCGGAGTCACCGCGGCGCTCCACAGAGAGTCGACCTCCTCCGACGCACTCAAATGCTCTAACCGCATGGGCGCGCCCTCTTGCGCATAGCGGTATGCAAGATATGGTCGCTTCGGCTTCGGCACTACACCGGAGGTAGGGAGCTCGGAGCTCGATCCCTCCCTACGAGCCTCGGCGGAAGTAGACGCAAGCACCCCCTGCGCGACCACGGAAGGATTCCCTTCCGACGCCCCGGAACTCGGGAGACCCGAAACCCCGGTGTCGTTCCCCGCTTGCAAGAAACGAGGATACTCTTCTGAGAACAAAAAGTAAACAGAAGGGTAAAACATCAACGTCATAGAAGGGCCAACTGCTTACCTCGCCAACCAAAGTAGCAGGTACAGCACCCTGGATTATCTCCTCGGCAGCCGAGGTGGCCCGCCCGGCAGTAAGGACCGCTTCCTCGGCGGCATCCCCTTCCTATAGAAAACAACCTCAAGTCAAAACCGAGAAAAACAACGTACAATAAAAAAAATATATATAGAAACGAGACTAAGAAAAGAAAAGTACTCACCACGACGGCCCGGACAACTCGCTCAGCAGCTCGGGCCAGCACCTCGCTGGGTTGAGCGGCAGGCCCAATAGCCGACGCCACCTCTTCGGCAGCCACACGAACGCCCCCTTCCGACGGCGGACTTCCAGCAAGGTCCACCACGCCGGCTTCAGCAGCCTCGGAGGCAACCTCCCCTACTCCACGAGGGGCAGAGGTCCCCCTGACCTCTCTCCCGCCCCTCTTTCTTTTTCGGTTCACTTTCAAGGGGGAAACCTCCTCCTCTGGAGGCTCGGAGACCTCGAGCTCGGTCACGTTGAAGCAGTGCTTCAGATCAAGCCACAAATCCTCCCTTATAATGCCTGCAGACAGAAAATAGGGCACATCAGCAAAGAGGAATTACACAAATCTCAACAAACTACCAAAATATAAGATACTCACCCTCGAGGCCTCTCTCCCTATGCGCCGAGTTCGCCAGCAACAAGATTGACTTGCAGTCCAACGGGCGAGGAAGTGCCGAAAGATTCCCAATGGCGACAGCCTCTGAGGCCGTCAATTGCGAAGGATCCACCCCGTGGAACCTAGACGGTTTGGGACACCAGTAGAAAGGGAACTTCGGCAATCCACCGAAGTAGAAGCCCCCATCCTCTAAAGGGTCAACGTCCACGAGGGCAACCCGGAAGAACTCGGTTTTGAAATTTTTATAAGACTGGGAGTAAGGAGTGAATAAACCCCCCTCTTTACTCCCGTTTAAAGAAAGAATGCCATAAGGTGGAACACCCAGCTTCAACTGATAAAAGTGAAGGAAAACACGGAGGGACAACTCTATTCCTAGGACTGCACACAGGACTTGAAACGCCCTCAAAAAACCCCAACTATTGGGGTGTAGCTGATGGAGGACCATCCTTGGTACTTCATGTGAAACCCATCACATGGTTCATGGCTATGACCAATTTGAGTAGTATAGTATTTTATTTCTTTATTCCAAATTTACCCTTGTACTTTAGGGTATTTTAGTCATAGAATTTATTTTATTTTATTTGCCAATTTTACCCTTGTATTTTGGGGTGTTTAGGACTTAGAATTTATTTTCTTGTATTTCCCATTTTACCCTTGTATTATGGGGTGCTTTAGATGATTAGGGTTTTAATTTTGGGCTAGGGTGTTAATTAGAGGGTGACACATTTTTGGTGCTTATTGGGTCTATTTTTGGTGTTAGAAAGGCTTAGGCCCAAGTGGAGGGCAAAGGTTGCATGGTTTTATCATGCACCTAGATATAGCCAATCTAAACCCAAAGATTCCATCCTTGGCCACCAAGTTGCATCTAGGGTTCATTTGCATTTCATTTGGAATGCATTTGCCTACTCCAAATGCAACCCTAGATGCCTCCCCTCCTATAAATACCCAACACCCCACACCTTGTAAATACTTTGGATTATATGATATTGAGTGAGCATTTTATGCCTCAAAATCCCATCCTTAGTCACTAGGTTAATTCGGCTAGCCTACTTCATTCTCCACCCTTGGAGAGTGAAACCCTAGAGTGGCCTCCACCTATACTTGGAGTGAGCCAACCTTGTGAGCACCAAACACCATACCTTAAACACTTCCGCCACCCTACTCCCTTTCTCGCCTATCTCCCTTATTGTCCCATAAACTTTCTTTTGTCTACCCCTTGGTGAACCTAGATCAAGGGCAAGGAGTCTCCTTTCAACCATTGTCATCACCCATGGAAGGAACTACTCCATCAAGTAGCTGGCAAGGTGCCGCGTTGATGTAGTTCAAGAAATCACACTCAAACTGAGTGAAAGGAAGACAAACGCCCAGGTCCTTGAAGAAACACTGATAGACATAGAAATGAGGAGGGTCGGTAGACCTCCCCATATACACACCCTCACCGGCCGGACAGGGCTCGAGTCAAATCATCCGGGAAATGGAAGGGTCACAAATCCGGTGCGTCTTCCAAACCGCATTGACCTCTAGAGGCGATCTGAACACGCTTTGGACCCCCCCCCCCATTTCGCGCTTCACCCAGTCGTAGCCAGGAGCGCCCGACTCCAGGTCCTTGGGCGGAGGCGGGTCTTTCCTCTCGACGGCGCCCCTCCTGGTAGCCACCGCCTTACCGTGCGCTTTGCCCCTAGTAGGTGCAGAAGAACTGGCGCCACGACCACCAGCCATCAAGAAGAGTAATAGAACTCGAAAAGGAAATGTGAAAATAGAGACAGAAAGCGAACGGGAATGAGAAGGCAAAGAGGACTATCGTACCCAAGAAGCCAAAGAGTGGAAGAAAGCATAGTGAATGAGGAGAGACGCGGGAGTCCTGAATCTCTTGTGCCTTCTTTCTTTTCTCCTACAAAAGTACCATATAATGAGATTAAAGGTAAAAACATAATATTCTGAACAATACAAATAACAATGCATGTAATCCTAACTTACCAAAAACTCTTTAGTCATTATAGACTCTACAAATGCGTTCCATGTCTCTTGATCTATGGTGGGGTTCTTATAACCAGGAAATTCACCTTTCTTTTTTCCAAAAATGTAATTGTTCGTGAGGCTGGTCTTATATGCCCTCCACCTCTCATCCACAATAGAGAGGGTTTTCCTTCTCATGTCCTCTGTCCTAGGAATGTCCCAAGTTTCCTACATTTATGATAACAATGAGTTAGTACATGTTATATCCTAATGAAGTTTAATAATGAAAAATGTTGAGTAATGAAATTTTACCGTAATATCTGCCCAAATATGGTTCTTGACAACCTCCTCTACATGATCCCAACTAGGCAATAAAATAGAAACCTTGGTTCTAGCAAGAACCCCCATGGTACTCATAAATTCGGTAGCTGAGTCTCCCATAGGTCTCTTAGTTATCTCATCAATATCAACATGCAATCTCTCCTCATGAAGGCGTTTGGATGTGACATTCTTCATTCTAGTGGGACCTCTGACTTTCTTCTTGGCTGTAGTCTGTGTAGAGTCTAAAGGAGAGTCTTGATGTTCATCCATATTTATCTGTTGACAGAAACAAAATAAATTACAAGTCATTAGTATAAAATTAAATTTATAATAAATAATACTTAAAGTGATAACAAAAATAAAAGTATAAATAGAAGTAACTAACAAAAAAAAACTATAATAACCTATTTTGGAAATATGATCAAGTTTGAATGTTCTCCCATATTCCTTCCTGATGATCATCACGAGTGGCATGTACATTATCAACATCATCTTCTTCATTAATAGTTGGCACCCGTTTGGACAAAGCAGCCATGTTATATCATTAGCACCACAGGGTAGGTCTTCGATTTCCGGCTAGCTTAGCTATGCCCGAAAGGGACTTATCAGTATATGACAATATTCAAATAATTAATTTAGATTAAATTAATTTTAAAAATTTATACTGTCACCTATAATTTAATATATTTTTTTTAGTCTTTATATTTGTATATTTTTAATCATTTTAATTTTATCATTAATTTTTTTTATAAATTCAACTTTTTGTATTTGATGTCCAGGGTTGGATATTCAATAAGGCAATTAAGGTCAATGCCTAGAGCTTCCAAATTTATAAGGTCTCCAAATTATTTTAATAGTAGTATTATTGATATAAATTAATTTTTAAAAAATTAATAATATTTGAGATAAGGCCCAATATTTTATAAGACACGTATCTTATATTTTTTATATATCATATTTTTTTATTATTAAAATTACTTAAAAGACCACAACCTATTTATTAGTTTTTGTAAATGAAAAGATACTCAACACTCAACAGTCACTACTACTTACTTTTGTTTTTTATAGATGATAGATTTTCAACCTCTTTGTTTCCTCTCTAGTCTATCTCTTTCTCATTCTCTCTTCATTCTCATTCTCAATTCCTTCTTCGCATCTAATTTGAGAGCTTGATTGGGAGCAATATGGTCCTACTATGCCTTTTCTGGGTTGATTCTTACTTTGTAAGATCCTTAAAACTGCTAAGTTAGTATAATTTTAGGTGTTGGTTCAATGACATCAATGCATTTTCTTAGTTATCACCATTAACAATCCATTGTAGTGCACTTCTTGCATGATATTGCATTGTGAATTTGTCATGGGTCATCCCGGAGATCAGTACCACATATTTTTCTTTATTGAAATTGAAACAAGATTTCTTCTTTCTATGATTTCCTGCGTGTCTTTGAAAAGCCAGAATCAAACATTTCTAAAACATTGCAAATTAATTATTAATGCATGAGAAAAGATAATTTAATACAGTACTTTTATTTATAAATTACAATTTTTAGATCTCATTTTTTTTTATTGTTTATCATTGTAGGTGCACGCAAAGTGATTGTCACTACGATTTCAATTTTGGATACTCATAACTGCGATAGTGCATAGCCATAGCTTAAAGAAATTTTCATTCACAGATATAATTTTTCACTTTCCAAGTTTTATTGTTTCATTGTTATCTTCTTTTAATTTTGAAAATTAATTTTCTTGTTATTTTTATTTTAGCCAATCAGTAAAATATGTCAAATAGAAAGTATGTATCTGGTTTTGAAAAGTTGAAAAAAAAAAAGAAGAATTAAAAAATTATAGAAAAAATAGTTTTGCATCTACATTAGAATCCACCAAAGGAATAACTATTGAAATGATACAGAGCCTAAGTTCAATGAAAAACGTAAGATTTATAGGAAAAAACATTTTGATGACATTGATAGTGATGAAATAACTCATTCTATATATTTCAACCAGGACATTTGAGATTAGAATGTCCGATCCTTAAAATAAAAATGGAAAGATCCAACAATTGGTATCAGAGCCAAGGTCATGAGTTCGATACCTAGCGGGGCAATTGCTGAGAGGGAGATTGTTGCAGGTTGCATCAATTGTCCTGTGGCGGAGGCTAGGTGGGCCAAGTCACTGTCGAATCATGGCGCTTGGGCTACTGCGCTCTTAAGTAAAAAGAGTTGCGCCCTGACTATCAGTTATAGCTTTTGGCCTAGTGGTAAGCGCTCGATCCAACAACTTTAAACAACAAATCAACTCCAATTTCCAAGTGCAAGGTCTCTTGAATACCAAATGATGTGAACCCAGAGGGATGGATTCGTTTTACGGATCTATCTAGGTTGGAAAGCTCATAATTAAGAAATTAAAAGAAGATAAAAATATGGATTGAGGTAAGAAATGGAAGAACAACGCCACAATCCCTAAAGATTTATAAGTTGAGGAAGATTCGCCACTTTGAATTAGGAAATTCAAGGATAAGAATCAAAAGTAATTCCTAAGAACCTAGAGAGAGAAAATCCTCTCAATTGGAAAAATATCCAAATTATGAATAATTCATTTTCTCTTCTCTTTCTTTTTCTATCTATATTTTCAATTTCAGTTGATCCTCGTGTACAGCGTCGGATGATAGACATATCAACTTAATCCTTCGTCCACCATGCACAAAAGAAATAGAAGGTCGTTCAGGATTTATAATTTTATTATAGAGCCATGGCCTCCCTAATAACATATGGCATGTCTCCATGTGCGAAATATCACAAAGAACTTCATCTGCATATTTTCCAATAGAGAATTTATCCATTGCTTGTCCATTTGTAGTGGGCAGACATAATTTCTCAACCACCCTGCTGCTCACGACATTTCTAAAATTGAATTCATCTACTGTGACTAAGAACAGAGAGTCGTCAACCAAACATCTTGTATAGTAAATTTCCATTTCCATTCCAAACCCAGAGCCGAAGCTCTGATACCAAATGATATGAACCCAGAGGGATGGATTCGTTTTACAGATCTATCTAGGTTGGAAAGCTCATAATTAAGAAATTAAAAGAAAAAAATATGGATTGAGGTAAGAAATGGAAGAACAACGCCACAATCCCTAAAGATTGATAAGTTGAGGAAGATTCGTCACTTTGAATTAGGAAATTCAAGGATAAGAATCAAAAATAGTTCCTAAGAACCTAAAGAGAGAAAATCCTCTCAATTGGAAAAATATCCAAATTATGAATAATTCATTTTGTCTCCAAACTTTTACAAATGGTTCCTATTTATAAGCTTAGATGGGCAAGATGACATAAAATCTCACTAATTTTCCACTAACACTTAATATCCACTAGAATTGACTCCTCACCAGCCCACTAACTCATTAAATTCCACTAAGCCTAAAACACTAAATGCTGGTCTAGGTAACTTGGAAAGTCATCTGACTTATTTAATAAAATTAATAAAACAAAATTACATTAAAAAAATAAGATAATGAACTTATTTAATTATTCAGCCCCAAACTACTTAAATTTCAGGCCATTAATATCCTTCTTCTTTATCATGACTTTGAGCTTGTTAGTCTTCAATTTTACCCTGCTGGATTCACATCATTATCGTACACTTGCTTTTGGACGAAAACAATTCTATGAACTTATATTTGATTACTTGCAGAAATGGTTTATAAAACCACACACACATTTCAACCCCATTTTTTATATGTTTCCTTCTCTTTTACTAGTTCATCAAATCCAAACTTGAAATAAAAAGAAAACAATGAATGCAACAGAAAATTGAAAATGAAGAAAAATATAGATGGATATTAAACACCATATACTGAGCAGTTTGATAAGTTGGATGAAGATTTGCCATAATGGATTCAACCTTTTATAAGAAGTTCAAAACCAAAGTTCTTCCACAAAATCCAAGAGAAAACTCTCTCAAAGATTCTCAATTCTTCATTAATGACTTCCTATATGTTACAATGAGTATGAAACACCTATATATACATATCCTACTAAGAAAGATATTTAGACACACATTTGGAAACCTATAAATGCACACAAAACATCTTGGCACACAAAACAAATTCAAAAATATAGTTATAGGCACACTAAACTTATTGAGCCAAAGACTCTTGTTCAACCGAAATTCAAACTCTAATTCAACAAAAACTCAAACTTTGGATCAGTTAAAAGAATCTTGCTCAGCTTTTTCAACTTTGATGGTAACAGAGAGCAAAATTCACCCAAACGAAAAACTTAATTTAGCTCAGCCAAAACTTAGCGACTAATTTTTCAGTCACTAATTTTATCTTTTTAATTTTTGACAACATTATTCCTTTTGAAATGACTAAAACACAAAATCACTTCAAATTCTTCTATTCTACAATTTGACTCTATTTCTTCATGCAAATGAGCCCTATTTTGTTTCTCTGAAATCTTCAAAAACAATCCAAAATGATCATCATGTCCTTCATTGGTTAGTCTTTCCAAGATGACCTCACTTTTTTTTGTACTTAATTATAAATAATAGATTTTATTAGTAAAGAAAATTATACAATTGAATTACAGCACATTATTGTGAAATTAAAATATCATTGATTCTAAGGAAACATTATATAAGTAGATCATGCAACATCAAAAGTGTCTTACAAGATTTATATACTAGCTATCCACATAGTAAGTTTTTCAAAAGACTTCCTTGTTAAGCTAACATCATAAGTATATATACAAACAAAAGATCGTAGATTACCCCACTGTATACCGTTAAAGAAAAGCTACGTTTGTCAAGGAAATCACACAATCTGAGACTACTTATTTATCCTATCTTTAAACATTATTAAATGAGTAACTAGTCACCTGGAATCCTTCTCAGGTAGAATTGCATAAGCTATTTTGTTTGAGTTCAAATTGAAGCATAAGCTATTTTAGTAGAGTTTGAAACACTCCATGTTATGAAGGTTCAACTTTTGCGTCTGATGGATTTATGAGAATCTTTGCATATAAAATTTTCCTACCTTTTTCCCTAACTAATTTTCTACATATTTTTTTTCAAGTTTATTTATATTAAATTTTCACCGGCAGTTAATCAAAATATTTTTTCGAAAATTGTTTCTAAATCTTTCCATCAACCCAAAGCTAATCTATTAAATGATAAGGGTGCCTCTTCATCTGCCCCAGACAATGGACACGACATATATATAAGCATGCTCAAGAATCAACATTATATGTTTCATGCGTTTGCTATACTTTTAAATGCAAAACCAGAAGGAGCAATTAATTGCTAGATCTGAACAAGATATGTCTGCCCCAAGTACAAAGACTTGGAAAGTAGGGTTCAATACGTAAAAAAGGCAACCAATAAAAGTATGAGTAAGAGCGTGACACTGTTTACCCCGCCCCCACCCCCCGCCACCCATGTAATTTGACGTCTACTATGGAAGAGAAAAAAGAATATTAAGATCAAATAATAAATTAGGAGAAAGAAAAGAAACA